CCCCCCCCCCCTCCCCTCCCCCCTCGCGTTCCCTCCCCCCCTCCCCGGCGCCGTTCGGACTGTCGCCCGGCCCCGCAGCCGCGGATCGCCATGTCCTCCTCCCAAGATGACCAACCCCTCTCGTCGGAGTACCAGGCCCTGCGCCAGCACCTGTCGCTGGACATCATCACCCAGCTGGCCAGCAAGACGCCCGACCAGCAGCAGCGCACCGTCTTCCGCTGGCTGTCGGACCTGGAGCGCCTGCTGTCGGAGCTCTGCCCGACGGATCTCCCCGGCAATGTGCGCCACCGGCCTCGCGCCTGACACCTCCCTGCCCCATGCGACAGTCGGCTGTCCCTTCCGGCCCCGGTTGCCTGACCGTCCCTCCCCCCCGGCCCCGCGCCTCCCCTTCGTCGCCCGGCCCTCTCTCTCTCTCTCTCTCTCTCTCTCTCTCTCTCTCTCTCTCTCTCCCCCCTCCAGCGCGCGCTCTTGGTGTCCGATGTCCTCGCCTCGCTGGTCCGCCTGGCCTCCCAGCACCACCTTTGCCACCTGAACCGCGCCATCCTCAGCCGCTGCGTGGTCAGCGTCGGCATCCTGGCATGCTGCCCGGTGCCCGGGCAGTCCGGCGCCGCGGCGCCGGCCACCGCCCCGGGCGCCGCCTCGGGCAGCCCCTCCGACGATCTGTCCCGGTCGCTGGGCAGCCTGTCGGTCTCGGTGCTGGCCCCCCTGCTGCCCGGCGTCGGGGGTGCCCTCTACGACCAGATGATGGAGATGATGGGCCATGCGGCGCTCTTCGCCGGGAAGCAGGTCCTCCCCGCGCCGCCGGCCGGCGCCGGGCCTGCCGCGGCCGCGGCCGCTGCCCAGTCCGACGAGCGGGCCATCCTCCGACTCTCTTCCTTCCGCCTGTGCGCCTCGCCCCCCCCCCCCCCCCCCCCCCCCCCCCCCCCCCCCCCCCCCCGTCTTCCCCCCCCCGCCCCCCCGCCCCCCCCCCGCCCCCTTGCCCTGGCGCCGGGGGTCCCGCCGCTGGGCTGGCCGCCGGCCGCCGGCATCGGGCCCCCCCTGCGCGCGCACCCTCATCATAATCCTGCCTCACAG